CCACATCATGCCCATCCGGTGTGACACACACACCTATACCAGGGTATGTGTGACCCCATTACACTCACGAACACAATTATCGGATGTGGAAAACCACATTGAATGATTGGGAGCAGTAAGCCAACGCAGATTCCACAAATGAACCCTTTGCTCGCAATGAAATGATTATCGAGCAGAAATACTTCCATATATGATGCATAGAAAATTTGGAGGGCCAATGGGGCGGCTGCGAATACGCCGAAGCTAATTATTTGCTTAGCATCTACTTTTGGAACTTCGGAGGTAAAACAAGTATATTCCAATGACAATCTTGATTTAGTTTTAAAAATGCCTCAGTTGAGACAATACAAACTTGACATTGATTAGAAACCTTAAGTCACGCTATGCTTACTTGAGCTATGTGATACTGAACTTTTCAATTTGCTGGCAACCCCCACAAGTCAATCTTTAAGAAGAACCCTCCTTCCCGAACTCACCGCTCCGGCTGTCATCTCCCTTTCCTTCTTAGATATGATACATCTAAATGCTCCATTTGCCTTCGCGCGCTGTAATCGGATCGACTCCTGGCTCCGCCATCAGTATCCCAGCGGGGTACCACGGTCAACCCATCTTGCTCAATTCCTGTGCTGGCCTAATACCTCCAGCTGGCTAATCGCCAGGCGCTCATCCACTAAGCCGTGGCATCCCACCCTTCTCCACCTCGCCTTCGACGTCTGCGTTTCCCGCTCTGTCGGCCATTGCGCCTGATGCGGTCGACCCCGATGATGAACTCATAGAGGCGAACCCATCTGTCGCCTACTCACCTCCTGACAAGTCGATGGATCTCGCGCAGCCTTTTGTCAATGCTTCTCCGCATCCAAGTATCGACAGACGCTCGACGATGGCGGACTTGTTACGGCAGCAAGAGACGATTTGGCGAGATAACGCTGAAGTCGAAGCTGCGCGTCGTCGTGTGGAGATTCCAAAGCCCCTCGCTTGTGATATTGAAGCGATTGAGCACCAGTCTGCCTCTGTTAGTGAAGACGTTCATCTCAGCTTGCATGGAGTAGACGCGTCCTTATAAGCTTCCGCGCGCCAAATACGACATGGAAATCGAAACCGGTTGAACGTTCGCCAAAACTCCGCTCCAGATAGTCATGGTGTCGCTGGCTGGCAAGCACCATGGTAACGAAGTTCTCGGTCGTCTGAGCTTGCGATCGGGCAAGTATCAAAGCTCCCCGGCCGCAAACTGCGCGTGAAATTGAGGGCTAAAGAAGCCTGCTTAAAGCTGGAGCGCACGAAGGTCAACATCCTATGTGGTGCATTCGATTTTAAGGAGTTCGAATTTTATGGTAGGAAGTGCTTCATCGATATTGCGAATGTGATCTTCCACCGCTTGATCTTGTTGGAATGCAAGCCGGTGTAGGTACGTTTCGCGAAGTAAACCTCATGACGGGAATCACGTCTGCTACCTGGCTTATCTACCTCCTCGCCAGCACACGTCCAAGTGAATGGGTCGGTGTGCGACCAGATCCTGTTCGATAACAAGTTGCATTCGGCGCATGGCAATCACTCTTAAAAAATATTTAATATGCCAAATGCTTGAAAGTATGGCATTGTTCAAAGCTATCAAATGGGTATCTTCTCCAAGGAAAAATTTCAAGGCGATCTTAAGTTAGGTGAAACCACTTATTTTATGTGATATTTTAGTTTACTCTCAAACACTTTCTTTATGTCGAAAAATCAGCTGGCAGGTCGTCTGTCAAGCACATTGCTTTATCGAAGCCGCTGTTACAAGCAACTACTTGCTTTTAATACTTGCTTGTTTTCAACCCAAAAGTCCGCTCCATGTGCTGCGGTCTGTGTTATAGCTAATGAAGTTCTCACTGGAAAGGTCATCAGTACATTCAAACTGCTCGAGAGTCTGATAAAACTAATCATCGCTTTATGACCTATTTTCTTCATTCCTCATGTTCTCCAGACACTAGACACTAACTCGCACTGGATATCCAAATTCATGTTTCGTAGGGGAATTGACCTAAAACGCGTCGTGGTAATTCCTGACGAGGAGGAGGATATCGTATGCACGGTAAAACAGCTTTCGCAAATGGTAGGCCCTAGTGGCTACGTTTTCACGACGGGAGGTATCGGGCCCACCCACGATGACATCACTTACAACAGTGTGGTAAACTTTTAAACTGTGCTTTTGTTGTTAGTTAAGCGTATGTCATCGTTTTTGAACTCAGGCGAAAGCATTTGGTCTTGGAGTTAAATTTCATGAAGCTACGATGATGAAGCTAGAAGCTGCTATGGCGAAACGTAAGGCAAAAATGACGCCAGAGCGTAAGCGCATGGCACTATTGCCTGCCGGATGCAGGACGCTGATAACGAAATTTTGGACGCCTATTGCGGTTGTTGAAAACGTTTATATTCTGCCCGGCATCCCGTCAATGGTTCGCTCAATGCTTACATCGAACGAAGAGCATTTTGTTGGCGTACCAGTTTTCCGCGCAATTGTTCGTAACGGCATCCGATATAACGTTTCATTGATTGCTTAATGCTAATGACTTTTGTCTTGTTGAAGGTTCATACGCTCAAGGTTGAAGGTGACATTGCGAAACAGCTGACTGTGGTGCAGAATGCGCACCCACACATCGCAATTGGAAGTTACGTTAATTTGGCGGAAGACAAGAAAGATAAGACATTTAACACCTGCCTATCAATCGAAGGACGAGACGAATTTAGAGTCAAAGAAGTAAGCGATGAAATTGCAAGACTTTTTGATGGTGAGGTTGTTGTTCCGGACCAGTAATGTGCTTAAAGGTGGGGTGAGCGGAACAATTTACTTGTGGTTGGATAAAACGCTCTTTCTTCACCAATCTTCGATTTCGTTTCGTGGCCAGTCAAAATTTTGCGCAAACATATCTCGCCAATTTCTTCCCGACCAAGATTATGACAAAACGATATAGGATACACGTACAAAATGGTCTAGCAGATAACCGAGACAATACCAGATAATCAGTACTCTTTAAAACCTTATCTACCTTCACCGAGAGTTGATCAATTACGCTAAATTTAGCATTGAGTTCAATACATGATAAAGTAGCGTGTACTGCGAGTCACGATACTGCGCCGGAACGCTATTTAGACTGGACTGCAGTTCTTGTAGAACACTAGTCACAAATCCCGCGATTGTTTGATCGCTCACATCCATAACTAGAAGGGACTCGCGCAGCCAGTTTAGTTTTGTTTCTAGGTCGTCAACGAGGTCAGCACCTAATTGCTGAACCAGGCACAAAATTAGCATCTGCGAAAGCTTGGGCGGACGGCTGCTAAGAACGAGTCGAGGGTCGCATTCTTGGCACGCAAACGCCACGATCTTCACGTTCTGAGCACCAAGTGCAAATTTGAACGCCTCTTCCCAATCGTTGCGTGAAAGACAGTCCAGGACCGTGTTCTTCTGTGCTTCTAAATGAATCTCCTCGATAGATTTGGCAGCGGGGACAATTGCTCCATTTGAGCCTCCAGTGACGACTGCTGAACTGAGTTGCTCGACTCTATTGGACAAGCTTTCCACTACCTTTGTTAATTGTTCCAGTTGATTTGCGACCTTTGCGTTGCTGCTACTTTGCCCGCTACTCTCAAATGCACTTCGAGTGCCGTGCACGAAAGTGTCATTGATTTGCTCAAACATTTTCTGAGTAGCAGCCTGGAACGACGGAATCAAAATGTCCTGAAAACACTCACGAAACGACTCGCGCACAGGCTGGCGGACATCTTCAACTACGCGTTGTACCATTTCATCGACACCGTTAGCCAGCTGGTCAGGCAGCGACGTTGCCAATGAGTTATCCAGTTTTTGCTCGATTAGCGGGATAAGCTTTTCGCTAATCACGTGCTGAAATCCATTCTGTACCGGCTTCATAAAATTATTTTCCATAGTGTGCAGCACAATTCGGCCCATAGCGGGAACTAACACAGTTTGCAGCTGCTTTTGAATGGATTTTTCAACCTGAATAGAAACCTGCTGTGTCAAATGATTGCCTACGCTGCCCAGTATCGAGCGCATCTGTTCACGAAGCTCCTCATCGCGATGGAGCTGTGCCACCTCCATACGCCGAAGAGAAGTGAGAAGCGATTGCTGCTGAGTTTCGCTTAACGTATCATCAATAGAAGGCTCATACTGTACAGAACCTTCATCTTGAAGTGCACGAACTGAAGACGACGGAGACGAGCGGTTGTAATATCGCAAGCTAGGAGGCTGTCCATCATCTCCAACTGACCCTACATCATCACCTGTTGCTAACTGCAGCGACCGAACACCAGCACTACGAGTGCTTCGAGTACTTCGAGCTCCTGGTGAAGTTGGAGTCCGTAGAAGTCCCGTATTTAGTGGGGCATGTCGGTCGGTACTACCATCAAATTCTTCGCCATCATTCTCTTCAGGAGCCCGAACATCAATTTCTGTCTCAGGAGCTATTGTAAGCGCAGGTGTAGCGCGTGGCGACTCAGCTGTAGTCTGAAATGGTCCCTCTCCTTCGGTTGTCACAGCACCTACCGTTTGTCCAACATTTTCACCAGTCTCAACTTCATCCTCAATAGATCCACGCACACCAGAATAGTAACATTCTTGAGCCCCGACATGATACCGCTGAATTGCCTGTGTCTGTAGACAATACAGCTGCATGATGAAATTGAGTCCACCCAGTGCGGAGTTTGTATCGCTACGATCGTGTGCTGGCTGACTCTGACCCATACGGTTCAGCAAGCCCATACTGAGCACAGGATATGCTAAAGTGAACTCTGTTACATTGTCAAATCGACGAGCTGAGCGGACATCTGAACTAGGAGCCAGGTGGAGGACATAGATAAGAGGCTTGGCACGATCAGCCACGAACAAGAATTGAGTAGTTGGGTCTAATATCGTCTCATAAATCATTGACGAATCCACATGGGTCTCATCCCGCAACTTTACGTTCTGATTACATATGGGAAGCGTACTCTCTGTCAGCGGAACATCCCACAACGACAAGCGAGTGTTTGATTCGCCACCAATAAAAAGGCCTGGCTGATTCATATAATTGCCACCAAAAAAATGTAAACTGTTGACAGCTGCACCGCTAAATGGCTCAAAGCGCTGGATGAATTCAGCAGCTTGCCCAGAAATTTTTCCTTGAATGCGATATACGTGTACAAATCCATCATTGCCAGCTGTTATTATACACTCGCCCCTTCCAGGCGAAAATGCCATATCATTAATCTGGCCGGACATCTGGCCACAAACAACACTAATGTCATACAAGTTTTGAGCTCCAGAGCCATCAGCACTAACTCCCGACAGCTCGGTGATAAATACCACGCTACCATTGGCGACCGCAATCTTGTTCGAATCAGATGGATGCCATTTAACACGTTGGGCCTGTGTAGGCAGCAGTTTAATCAATTCGCGACTCATTGGGTCATTTTTAATCGTCCAAATTGCAATATGGTGATCTGTTCCGGAACTCAACATTAATTCTGACCTGCAGTCAAAGAACGCCAATTCTGTTACCGCGTGGTGTTCGTGCTTTCTAAGCAAGAGGCGATCAACCGAATTTTGACTAATCACACGTATCAACCCATTCCTGATTGGATATGAAATATAGTGCTCGTTTACCGAAATCAAGTTCCCAAGTTGCGACGTACGTTCTGAATTGTACAGCGTAATTGGCATAACTTCTAGTGATCTGCTCTCACCGGGGACATTCTCTCCACGCGAGTGATACTCTACTTCCTTCCCGAAAATCTCAACCCCAGGAGGTGTTGTGGGAACATCTGCAGCTCCAAATCCAGTGGCACTGCCTGCACGTCTAGGGGATCCTGCCACTGAGCTAGAGGCGGAGGCACCGAAGTCATTGTTACGACTGCTATCTATTGTCATAGCAGCCGCACTCCGCGAAGCAGAAGGAAACATGCCACCACTGGTCGAAGAAAAACCAGGCATTGGCTGGAATGGGGAAAAGGAGGGAGGTAGCGGAGCCGGTCTTGGCGGCGGAAAGGTCCCTACATTTTGCTGAAATTGAGGCGATAACGCGCTTGGCAAGACCATCGAAGGCATGGAGCGCATGTGAGAGCTAACCATTGGCATGGAAGTGGAGGATGAGGCAGGAAAAGGCTGGATAAACTGGCTAGGACCACCCATGGAATAGGGCGGAAGGGGTGCGGGGGGAAGCTGCGGCTGATGCTGTAGCAATTGATGTAGCGGATTACTCGGTGTCACTTCGGGAGACACGTGGTCCAGTAACGAAAAGCGCGCTTCATTAGAGAGCATATTCATCACTAGTACGTTAGCACCTTTACTTATTTTTCGCGAATCGTGACTAACCTGCGCTGATGTTGGGCGGCATAGGAGCACTTCCAGGGGGAGGAGGTGGTGGTAGACCGCTGCTTGCCGTGCTGCTGTTGCGGCTATGACCGCTATCGCTACGCACACTCATGACTCAAGGTTCAATGGAAATCGCTGGGGGGCTAACGTTAGGAAGGGCGACACTTTTTTGATTTTCTCTCTTAATTATCAAGTATTTTCGAGTCAAACAAATTACGAAAATTTAGAGGCAAAATCCGTACTGATCAATGTCATATCTCGATCTTACTCTTAGATGCTATTTTTTTCACTTCGCTTCAATCGCGTATCATCATTCTTTTCTATGGTGTGTCATTTATACTTTTCTGATACAGAAAATAACGACTATGACACGATGTATCACAACGTCGTTCACCGTCGATGTCTTTCTGTGCACCACTGCAATCGGAATGCAGCAGCTTGCGGCCTACCAGCAGAGTAGCCACGCGCTCACTACCATCGTCAAATGAATGTTCAAATTGAAGTTCTTGGTCGGTTTACCCCACGCAAACGCTTTCGTCCAGCGGCAACCAAGCATGCGGCAAGGTAAGAATAACTTCAATGATGTCTAGAGAAGGTATTGGGTCTTTAAAGAAGATGTTGTTCGGGAATGATGTCACAAAGTGGCTCAATTCGACGGAGTACGCACTGTACTATTAATTACGCAACAATTATGCAAAATAAAATACTGTACTGCTGTAAGAATTCACATTACACTTTTTCGTGATGTAAATATTATCGTGGGATTACATAAATCGAGAGTCCATGGTGTTTATTTCCTTATTTCTGGATAGATTAAAATTTATATATATAGTGATAATGAAAATGAATTAATTTTATCTACTTCAATCGCGAAGAACGGCATGCAGCCGGTGTGTCCGAAAATATAAGCTGGTGTCTATTACTGCGCGTGTCCGAAAATATAAGCCTAAG